TATTTCTTTTAATTTATGATCATGATTGATTTTTTTGTCATAGGCTGATATTGACAAAGCTGTTGAAGCTGCAAAAAAAGCTTTCGAGATTAAGTCATCTTGGCGTAACTATCAACCCGCTGAACGTGGTAATTTGCTACGCAAACTTGCAGATCTACTTCGACGTGATGTCGATTATTTATCGGTATAAATTTCAAAAGCGTTTTTTTTTCACTCATAACACTATTCATCTTTTCAGAAATTAGAAACATTAAATGGTGGAAAAGTCATCAATGATAGTGTTGGTGAAGTTTTTGCTTCAGCAGCTTGTCTTGACTATGGTAAAGAATAATGATATTCTATTTCAATTTTGTTGACACTCATATTTTTCAGTTGCGGGATGGGCTGATAAGATTGCTGGTGAAACACTTCCATCAGCACCAGGTACTTTTATTTATACTCGGCATGAACCAGTTGGTATATGTGGACAAATTATTCCATGGTTAGTATAAATATTACATGTATAAAAGCACTTCATATTTTTTCCTTTTAGGAACTATCCGGTAAACTTCTTTTTTCTCCAAAATGGGCGCCATGGGATAACACATGTTTGTTTATTTTAGCTTCTCATGCTAGTCTGGAAAGTTGCACCAGCATTAACGTGTGGTAAGTTGGTACTTAATGTTGAATCACATCAATCTATATACTGAAGTGTTTCATAGGTAATGTTGTGATTCTCAAACCAGCTGAACAAACACCATTGACTGCACTTTATTGTGCTTCTCTTATCAAAGAAGTATTTTTCATCACTTGAATCAAATTCTCGATTCTGTGTTTTTATGATGTTCTAGGCTGGCTTTCCACCAGGTGTTGTTAATATTGTACCAGGTAAATATATATAATGATAATGACATGAGTTTACTAGTACAATTATAGGGGATGGACCAAATTGTGGTCAGGCAATTGCTGTTCATGAAAATATTGATAAAATAGCTTTTACAGGTTCAGTTGAAGTAAGAATAGCAAACTAAAAAACTACAAGAAATATTTATAATTTCAATGTAGGTAGGAAAAAAAATTCAAGAAGCAGCAGGAAGATCGAATCTTAAACGTGTTTCACTCGAACTTGGTAAGAAATACATTAAAACATGAAATAGATATAATCTTTTTGCTGTAAATAGGTGGAAAATCACCATTGATTATATGCGAAGATGCTGATGGTATGTATCATATAGTTCACCATTTTGTGCCTTCAATATGTTTATTTTCGAATATTTTCATATTAACAAAATTTTGAAAATTTTGATACCTAATTTTTGTACAGGATAAACAGTGCAGTTCACTGAAGCTTTTAGATTTTGGGTTTTAGAACTTTTCTTTTTATTGTAAGTGGATCTTGCTGTTACAATCGCTCATAAAGCACTCTTTACACATGCTGCTCAAATATGTGTTGCTGCCTCAAGGATATTCGTTCATTCAAAAATTTACGATGAATTTGTCTCTAAAAGTGTAGAATTAGCTAAGAAACGTGTTGTTGGCGATCCATTCGACTCGAAAACTGAACAAGGACCACAGGTATAGTCAACAAATATGAATAATAGTGTTCAAAGTTTCGATAGCAAATATTTCATACAGTTCATGCTTTATTAAAGACTAACTCAATATTAGTTTGATTTTCTTTGTGTCGGATTTCTATTTCATAGATCAACAGTAGCCAATTTGAATCGATTCTTGGGTATATTCAATCAGGCAAACAAGCCGGTGCAAAACTTCAATGTGGTGGTGAACGAGTCGGTGATAAGGGTTACTTTATTCAACCAACTATCTTTGCTGATGTGAAAGATGATATGAAAATAGCTCGTGAAGAGGTTTTGTTTCTATTTATTCTCGATAAAAAAAAAATCAAATGTTTGTTTAGATTTTTGGTCCAGTTATGTCAATATTGAAGTTTGATTCATATGATGAAGTAATCAAACGTGCAAATGATACACCTTATGGTCTAGCTGCTGGTGTTATAACAAAAGATTGTAAGTTGAATATGTATGAAACACGTGTTAATGCATAGAGAGTATTTATATTTTAGTATCACGTGCTTTACAACTAGTTGAACAATTACAAGCTGGTTCAGTATGGGTGAATCAATATAGTGCTTTGCAATTTCAAGCTCCATTTGGTGGTTTCAAACAATCTGGTCATGGACGTGAATTAGGACGATATGGTCTTGAAGAGTACTATGAAGTGAAAACAGTTTCAATCAAAATTGACTAAAACTTTATTTGAACTTCATATTAATTAGTGTTTTATTGATGAATGAGTTGCGTTGTTTTTCTTTATTTACAGGCATTTTTATTAGATTCTCAATCAATACATAAATTTGGTCATTCATAATTTTGTGTCTATTTGATAATTTCATATTTCGCAATACTTTTGTGATGCACATTTATTATATCAGTATGTTAGAAAGGATAAAATCGACTCTTTTCATATTTTATTTGCTTGTTCGCGAGATAGTGAGAACGAGGGAATGCGTGGCGTGTAAGAAAGAAAAAAAACGGGGTTGTGTTTGTGCGCAAAGGAAAGAGAACGTGAAGGCAAAATACAAAACGGAGTATATAAATGTCTTTTTATCAATATAAGATGACGATGACAGTGTAATCTCATCGTTTGTGAATCGAAACACATTGATTTTAACTTTGAATGATTTTTTTTTCGTCGCATTTTTTTTAGATGTCGTCAAGTGATTCAAAATCTCCTAGCGTTGAAATCAAATATACACAAATTTTTATTAACAATGAATGGCATAAAGCAGCAAATGGTAAAACATTTTCTGTCATCAATCCAAGTACAGGAGAAGAAATTTGTCAAGTAGAAGAGGGCACTAGAGTATGAATGCATATATAAATGGTTTTTTTAGTTTGGTATATAAATTTTCTTCTATTTTCTAGGCTGATGTTGATAAAGCAGTTCAAGCTGCCCGTAAAGCTTTTAACATTGAATCACCTTGGCGTAAATACGAACCTGTTGCACGTGGTAATTTAATGCGAAAATTTGCTTCTCTTCTTCGACGTGATGTTGATTATTTATCGGTAAAATCTTTTATTTGTATTCTTTCTTATTCATAACAGAAATTTATATTTAGAAATTAGAAACTCTTAATAATGGTAAATCAGTAGAAGATAGTAAAGGTGATATTTTTGCATCAGCTGATTGTATCGAATATTGTATGTATATCAAAATATTCTAATGAAAAACTAATATATATTAAGATAATAGATGCTGGATGGGTTGATAAAATCACTGGTGAAACCATTCCTGGAGCACATGATCAGATTATTTTTACTCGTCATGAACCAATTGGCGTGTGTGGACAAATCATTCCATGGTCAGTTAAACTTTCTATTTTATAGAAATAAAATATATTTCTATTGTAGGAATTATCCGGTGCGTGTTTTGCTCTTCTATAATATCGATATAACTCATTTGACTAAATTTAGCTTATGATGATGGCTTGGAAATTAGGTCCAGCGTTAGCTTGTGGTAAGTGTATACGTCAATATTTTTTTGTATACTTATTATTATCTATGTATTAAATAGGTAATGTCATCGTTTTGAAACCAGCTGAACAAACACCACTTAGTGCACTCTATTGTGCTGCTCTTATCAAAGAGGTAATTTTATCAATGATATTATTCAAAACATAAGTTATCTCTTTTCGTTGTTATTCTAGGCAGGCTTTCCACCAGGTGTTGTTAATATTGTACCAGGTAAAATAGATAATGTTACGATCATAATTTGATAATATAATTTAGGTGATGGACCTGAATGTGGCAATGCAATTTCTGTTCATGAAGATATTGATAAAGTAGCTTTTACAGGTTCAGTTGAAGTAAGAATATTTCAGTGAACTATAATAGAGATATTTAATGTTCTCATATAGGTAGGCAAGAAAGTTCAAGAAGCTGCCGCTAAATCAAATCTAAAACGTGTTTCACTTGAACTTGGTGAGTAATATTCAATAAAGTTCATATGAATTATTATTTGTTTTAAATGTAGGTGGTAAATCTCCATTGATTATTTGTGAAGATGCTGACAGTAAATCTTAAGAAAAACTTTTTAATAAAATATTTTCTATGTTGTTTTCTCATCTATTTAATAGTCGATTATGCTGTATCTGTTGCTCATCGAGCCATTTTTACCAATGCTGCACAAAATTGTACTGCTGGATCTCGTACATTTGTTCATTCAAAAATTTATGATGAATTCGTTGCTCGAAGTGTTGAACTAGCTAAAAATCGTGTTGTTGGTGATCCATTTGATCCTAATACTGAACAAGGTCCACAGGTATAAAGATGTTATATTTTATGGGAAAAACAATTTAATTTAATATCATTTTATAGATTAATGATAGTCAATTTCAAAAGATTTTAAGTTATATTGAATCAGCTAAAAAAGATGGTGCGAAATTAGAATGTGGTGGTGAACGAGCTGGTAATAAAGGTTATTTTATTAAACCAACAATTTTTAGTGGTGTCAAGGATAACATGAAAATTGCTCGCGAAGAAGTATGATGTTTTTTTTGTCTTTTTTTTTCCTTTGTCAAACTTTATAATAATATAATTGTTTAGATCTTTGGTCCTGTAATGTCAGTATTGAAATTTGATTCATATGAAGAAGTTATCAAACGAGCTAATGGTACATCTTTTGGTCTTGGAGCTGGTGTAATTACAAAAGATTGTAAGTTAAGAGAAAAATTAATGAATTTATAATGATTATTTCTTTTTTTAATTTTCTAGTAACACGTGGTCTTACATTTGCTCAACAATTACAAGCTGGATCGGTTTGGGTAAATGATTATGATGCTGTATGTAATCAAGCACCATTTGGCGGTTTTAAACAATCAGGTCATGGACGTGAATTAGGACGATATGGTCTTGAAGCATATTATGAAGTCAAAACAGTTGTTGTCAAACTTGTTTAAGAAGAAAAAACAACCAATTTCTAATTAGGAACAGCTATTTTGATTTGCTAGTTTAAATCTTTGACATTTAAGGAATTCAAACTGTTTTAATAAATGAAAAAAAAAATGTATCGATCGGTTTAGTCAATTTAATGTCTGAAGTTCAGTAATCATTCTTTGAATTAATTCAGTGACACAAATAACTTTTGTGTTTATATAATCAAAATCATTGTTATCATGCATATATCGATTGCAAATCATACATATCATTCATACATATAATTATAAATAAGTTGTACTTTTTAATTAGATAAAAGCTATACAACTACAATGTATAGATGCTGATTAAATATTGAGAAAGAAAAAGTTTGATCAATCTTTTTTTTTCTATTGTGTTCAAATCCTAACTAATGATTATATATGGTTTCTCTAAAAATCAGTCCGGAACATTCACGTGAATAACTCTTAACCCATTGAATAAATTTATATATACAGACGTTGTCAGAATTATTCAATCAGTAGAAAGATTTATTTTTAGCTAAAACTGTAAGATGATCATCAAAACATCGGCTACACTATATCGGATACCTATAGAAATTTTCAGATCAATCTACGTAATTGTTCGGTTTTTTTGACTAGTGACAAAGTCATTAATTGTTTTTTTTCCGATCGTAGTTCTTCCCATGACCAACTACTTTTTATTGTATTGATTTACACAGAACTCTCCAAAATGAATATTCTCAAGTCCATTTCAGGTCTTTATGGAAAATTCTTTATCTATTAATATTCAAATAATTTCAACGCATAAAATAATATTTCAAAAAAGTATTAAAAACTGTATTAGATATGTTATTTGATCACATGTTGTACGGCACAATGTTGCATGGAGCAATTTTCATGTTTATATTTATAGAGGTATAGTCTTCCATGTATTGTTTCATTTTGGACATCATGAATTTCATAAAAATTTTTGAAATGTAACTATTTAATAAAAATCTTTATTATTCTTGAACTTAGTTCTTTTCAATCAGAAAATTTTGCTTTGAAAACTTTATTTCACCTAGTCACTATTTGATATGGAATGAACTCAGTAAATTTTATATTATAAATTTATAAAAAATATGACATTGATATGAAGAGTTTTTTTTTATAATATGTCATTGTGTCATTTTACTAGATTCGCTAACTGAATTATTAGAATAATATAAACTATTGATTAAAAAGGCTAAAGTCCTTTCTAATTGGATTATAAGCAATATTTCGTGTCATACGACGTTGTCTTTAATGATAAATATCTCTTGCAAAAAATTATTGGCATACTGTTTTTAGATTATTCTATTAATAATAAAACTTGAACCAGTATTAACTTGTGATAAATTTATACTTCGTGTTAAATCATACTAATCTCTATGTTTAACCAGCTGGACAAATACCACCTGCTGTACTCTATTGTGCTTCTCTTATCAAAGAAGTATTTTTATCATTTGAATCAAAGTCTCGATTCTATCTTTTTCATGATGTTGTAGAATGAGTTTGCACCAGATGTTAACTATAGTATACAAGGTATTGTTATGATAAAGATTTCATGACATAATTGAGGTGATGATCCTGAATATGATGATGCGCAATTGCTGTTGATAAAGATATTGATAAAGTAGTTCTTACAAGTTCAATTAAAGTAAGAGTATTAGACTAAAAAAAAAATTAAGGTAAAATTTTAAATTTGATTAAAGCAAATTGAAGAAGCTCTAGTTAAATAAAATCTGAAACATATCTTACTTGAACTTGATGAGTATTATTGAATAAAGTTCATATGAATTATTTAATTTTTCAATATAGGTAGAAAATTTCTATTGATGAATTGTAACGTAGTCAATCATAAATATTTGAAGAAAATAATTAAATCAGCATTTTCTATTTTGTTGAAAACTGAATTATACTATTAATATTGCTCAATATGTTATACTGTTCATGATGCATGCAAAACAGCTGGATTTTGTCGATTTGTTTATGCTAAAATTTTTTATTTCTTTATCACTTGAAGCATTGAATCATCTGAAAAAAAAGATAGCTTGTTTATGAGCCATATGATCTCAAAATTTAACATTTTATAAAACCGGGAAAATATTCTAAATAAATTCTTCGATTAATAATAATCAATATTAAATTACATAGAGTCACGTAAAAAGATTGATGTTAAATTATCTTTGTTCTATTTCGTTTTCATTGCAAGTATTGGAAAATATCGATGTTTAGTTGTGCAATGAATGTTCATATTAAAACTTGATTCCTATATAAAAGTTATCCAAAGAACAAATAATAAGTCTTCAAGACTTACTACTCATGTTATCCTTAAAAACATATTTATTAATGATACCTTTATTTTTCCATTAGAACATGTTTTATGTATACAACCAATGAAAATAATTGTTGCTGAACTTATGCGAGAAGAAAGAGACACTAAACTTGTAATGATGAACAGTTATTTTTTGATTTTTCTTGTTTCTTTGTTTTTTTCTAAATCTATTTTATATTCAATACATTGTAAAAAAATAAATGAAAACGATATAATAAACTAGTAAAGTCGATTTTGTATTTTTTTTTAAGCTAAGCAATGCCAATAAAGATGGAATAAAACAAAATAATTCGTTCTATTGCTTTTGCTATGTTATGTCATTAAATTCGTTCGACGATAGAAACGAAAAACAAAATGAACATATGTTTATGAAATTCAATGACAAACAGCAATAGTTCATCGAAATTTTGTTCATTCTGTATATGAACATGAATTTTTTCTAGTCTAGAATGAGCAACATTGTCCTTTTTTGACCTTTTCCGTTTATTTAGAACGTATTATATTCAGACGTAAGAATCAATTTGAAAAAAAAAGCGTATAACTAAGAAAGCAATAAGAGAATGCCACGAGGAATTAGCTGGAGTTTTAATGAAACTGAAGCATTAATTCGTCTTTGGGCTGATTCAACAACTCAAACAGCATTACGTTTAAATAGTCGAAATCGTTGTATCTATGAAGATATTGCAAATCAACTACAGGCTATTGGAATAACTCGTACAGCTGATCGTAAGTTAAAATATTATGTTTTTTCTTTTCGTTAAATGAAAATAATATTCTAGAATGTCAAATGCGTATAAAATTATTAAAAAAAATGTATCGACAAACAAATGAAGCTATTAAACGTGGTGATGTTTTTCAACAACGTCCATGTCCATTTTATAATGAAATGCATCGAATTTTTTCTGGTATAGAAGATCTCAATGGATCTTCATTATTGTCAAATTCTCAATCTGTATTAACTGATAATGTTAAAGATGATGATGAAGAAGAAGAAGAAGAAGAAGAAATCGATGATGATATTGATGATGAAATAAAAAATCTTCAACAAGAAAATGTAAATTCTATACAATTAGAAAATTCAACTAAAGATAAATTAATTCAAGCTATTGATCGATTAATTCAATATCAAAAACAAAATGAAGTATAGAATAATTTTTTTTTTATTTTTGGTTTTTGAAATTTATATAGATTATTTTTTGTCTTTGTTTTTGTTCTAGACTCGTTGGTATAAATATCTTGAACAACAAGCTAATCTTGAATTAAAACGTCGACAAGAAGATCGAGCATATCAACTTCAATTAATTCAATTACTTACAAATGTTATATCAACAAAAACAAATTCATCATCATTTCATTCAGTTCTTCAACAATTACTTATGACTAATAATTCTCAAATAGAAAAAACTTTATTACAATCTGATAATAATACAAATCGAGGAGAAAAACGTAAATCTTCATTAATGTCATCCGATGATGAGAAAAATCCAAAAATACGACAATCATTACCGTCGAATTTTTATTCACTTCTTGCACAAATACATAATATTAATAATATGGATGATTCAAGTTGATATTTATCATTATTCATGTTTCTTTGTTATATATTGTATAGATAATATGTTTTGTTTTTGTAAAGAAAAAAGATGTTTTCATGTAATATCAATACGATTGATTCATTTTAATCCAAGAATATTGATGATTGTCATCAGTTAAATTTCTTCAAATCAATTCGATATGTGAGACAATTTATGAAATTTTTATTATCTTTAGAATAAGAGTTTTTGAAAAGTTATTTATATTTTCATAATTTGACATCATCAGATTGAAACTGAAGGTAAATCATTACGATCACTATAGAATTCTGTAAATCAATGAAACAAAATCATAATTGGTGGTAAAAAATGAATATAATTTCGGATGTATGCCAAACTTGAACCTGAAGTGTTTGGCTAGCAGTTTTACTATTTACATGTTTCTCAAATGAAGAAATTATAGGTTACGTCTTTGTAGATAGAAGATGAAATTTAGAACAACGTCCTATGCTAAGTTTGGTTTGATAAATTCTCGTTTGGTTAGATTCATATGCACTGTGTTGATAGGATTACAGTAAGCTGGCTAATCTTGCTGTTCATAGCGTAACAAAAGTAAAGAACTTACACGATATAATCAATTTTGATTTTCAAATATAAGAGTTATGTACGGAAAAAGATTCTCTACATATCATAGCGGTTAAAACAATTTTCATCTTCGTTGCGTGAATGACTGAGTTTTTTTCCGACTCTTCATTCTCAAGATCGTCACAAAAAAATCACGATAACTTTGAATACGTGTATCCAATAAGTAAAAAAAAGACAAGCAAACTAACAAAGGACTACATAAATATGGTGCAAAGCGACCTTGAACTTCGTCAATAGAGTTTCGACTAGCGGTTTAGTCAATTGGAGATCAACAAAACACTTTGAATTTTCTCTTGTAAAAGATAAAGGTCAAATTGTCAAAATCACCGCTTTGCAGAACTTATTGAAGATGAACGAAAAGTCATATTGAAAAATTCAAAAACGTTGGTACCATTTCGGGACATGTGTCCCACAAAGTCTAAGTTTTGTTGAAGCAAAATATACACAAAGTATGGAGACTGAACACATTTACGATTGACTACATGAAT